TGGACAGGGTCAAGAGCACAGGCAGGGCACTGACATATCACTATCCCCCCAACAAAGCAAAATGAAGCAACTCAAACCAGGATATCTTTGAAGAAAATAGAGTAGAGCATTCATGAAGATCTTACCCTTTTGCTGTTTTATAGTTGTAATGTGACTTGATAGTCTGTAGTATTCTTTTTTGAACAGGTTTATGGAAAAAGTAGAGATTGTAATTACTGGAGTTAATTAGATATTACGGTGTAAAGTTTGGGTTGTTTTTTTAACGAAATGGCTTGCAGGCACAAGGGAAACTTTCTCAGATCAACAATCAATTGTTAGAATCTCATTTACAAAACTGCACTACTTCATTAATTATGACAGCATGATACAAGAAAATAAATCATAAGTAACGATCCAAAATTTGCTAACTATTTAGGTGGTCTTTCAGACATGGAAAAAAACTACTGTGCTCAATCATTCATTAAAGCAGTAATCGGGCCAACTTAATGCTTTGTTTAAATCATAACAGAAAACAATATTTTTAAACTGTTGCTGATGCTGGCTATAGGTAGTATGCATAAAAGCAAGATACAACACTTAGGGTGTGTACAGACCTTCAGAGGGGCTAGGAGGAGGTCAGATTTCATTAAAAATAGCTATGCAATCTAACTTAATTCACCATGTGTGGACCTTATACTTGGATCCCTCGTTATGTCCAACTAAACGTGAACTGTACAGAAGTTCCAGGAGGGCTAGATTGGTCTAAAAGTGGCTGCCCTGATCTAAGTTAATCCTACCTCCAAAGCAGTCTAGTTTAGATGGTATTAGCCATATTTTTCAAATCAATCTAACTTTCCCAAGCTTCTGTACAGTTTCCAACACAGCCCCAGGGCTGGGAAAGCCCAGCTGCTGGCTCCAGGGCTGAGCTTTTGCTCCCTGCCCCTATGGCACCGGTCTATTTTTAGCCCCCTGGCCTCTTGCCTGCACCTCCCACCAAACCTCCATCTCACAAGCTGCTCCGTGTTCCAGTTTTATCAGTATTTGCCAATGCCGGGAGCCTAAAAAGTAAGTCCCAGTGGGGAGAGGGGTGGAAGAGATGATTTGCTGAGGGGAGGACCCTGCAGACCCTGCACGCTCCCCCCAATCCCTCCGTGGATCCAGCTTGTCCCTTGATCCTGCACAGGTGCTCAAATACCCCCACCCCCAGAAGACCTCACTAGCTGCCGTGATTCCCCCCTGTTCCCCCTGAACAGTTCTGTGGATCCTGCCTGCCCCCCAATCCCTCTGTGGACCCCCAGTCTCCTCCATACCTGTTTGACTTCTCAATTGCCCTGCAACAACCCCCCCCACACCCAACTTACCTTAGATTGGGTGGCTGTGTAAGGACTCTAACCTCCACCTATCCTCCCTGAATGTCTGTACCCAGCTTTAGAGCTGCCTTTGAAAATAAAGGAGAGAGTTGGACATACTAAATGATATCTCATGCAACATCGAATAGATGATTCCCGATTTTCATATTCATGTTCAAGTGAACAGTTATACTCAAAAGACATTTCACTGACTGGAAGTCTGTTGTAATATCTACAATACCTACAAATGTAATTGCTCAGCAAAATGAGCATGAGGTTCCTTATCTTGCCCTGAATAACAAATATTGAGTGCGAGGCAGCCACACATTTGACTAGTTCAGTTAGTTGATTAGTGCCATATTTTGCCTGGAATTTATGTGGTGGCCCATATAAAACAAGATTGCTAGGAGTATTTATTTAGTTGATCTGATAAGAGTTAAATCAGTTTTTAAAAGAATCCTGAAACAGATTTTTTTTAAATGATATTGTGGGAGTTTTTTTTATTTGTCAGTCTCATTCTAAATGAAGTACATCATTTATTAAACATCCTCTTGTAAATTTGTGCAGTTTTGTACTCATATAAGATTTGTTATCTCTGTGATAATTTCTTGAAAGATTATAGGAATAAATTACATTTACACTTTTCCTTCACAGATTTCAAATGAATATGAATCAATGTAATGCAATAAATTTAAGTGCTCTTGCATTATGTTCTGCATACTGGAGTAATGAAGATTTACATCAGCATAAATGACAGGATAATGTGGTTATTGAAGTATATGTGTGCCTGTATTTTCATACACATAAACCCTCAGCTATTAATGACAGGTTTGGGGTCAGTTCTGAGCCAAGAGGCAAAAATAATATAGATAGATCTATCTATCTATCTATCTATCTATAGATATAGAAATAGGTGTGTGTATGTGTGTATATGTATGTGTGTGTGTATATATATCTATATATATAGATATATATATGTAAAATTTTAGCATTAATTATAATATTTCCCTTTCATTATCTTTTCTTTAAAAAGTCTAAGAAGAATGAAACAGAGACTGGCAGCCAGAGAATCAAACCAGTATTTGAAGAAGATCCTGTTTTTCGACGACAGACATCTTACCAGCATGCAGCAGTTCACATACCAACTGATATTTATGAAGGCTGTAAGTACCATGTAAACATATGGCTTTATATTTATAGTAAACTTCTTTATGCACGACATTCATAAAAAACAAACAGATTAACCATGTCTTTTTTAATGATCTTGTTCTTAGTATGAATATCTTTAAGTACTTCCTCTTTTAAGAATCTTTAATCATGTGATTTGTACAATAGAAAGATCCTTATTTGACTAGACTCATAATTCGCAACCTTTTTTGGACTCAAGTCCGACCGCCCCCCAATGAAGAACGGTCTGAATTTGGAAAGTGGAGTTAGGAGCAGGAACTTAAGGCAAACAAGGTCTTTATGAGTGGCCTAATTTTTCTCATTCATTTTGTCTTTGTGCTGTTTTTTCATCTAGGGTAAAGTATTCTTGATAACTTTTCTTTAGAAGAATTTAGCCTGGGGCAGAGATGAATACTGGAAACACCTGAAGTATCCCCAAAGCATATATTGTTCAAGGGACTGGCTTACTGTGCATAATGATAGTACTTCTGCTACATGTAGCATGTATGAAGCATTTTTGATAGTGCAGGATTTTAAGAGTATTTGAATGAGTTTTCTCATATTATGCATGTACAGGAAACAATCATAGGATCATAGAAAATTAGGGTTGGAAGGGACCTCAGGATCTAGTCCAACCTCCAGTAGAAATGAAGTTTCTAAAAAAAATCCAAAAAGTGTTACATTGTTTTTCAAGATAGAGATATTTTTAGTGCCACTTTTAGACTTTTAGAAAGTGTATAGAAATACAGATATGTAATGAAGTAAGAAGATATACAGTAGATGCTATTCACACAGACAATGCTTGCAGAATTAAAAAAAAACCCCCAGCAAACAGAAGGACCTGAAAACAAGATTCTTTTTATTTAGTGTTATTCATTTTAATTCTGTGGCCTGCCTTTTCTGCCAAAATCTCATCAACAGGAAGGAGACCCTAACCTGACCTGCAGTTCTTTAAAATTCATGGCCATCATCATGTGTCTGCATTTATAAATGACATAGGAGTGAAAACAGAAATGTCAACAGGATTGAGGAGGGAAATCATAGTTAGTGATATTTCTCAGATGGTGTATCTGAATGGCACAGATTTACAGGATTAGTCTAGGATTCTGACTTTAATCCTTCAATTAAAGTGCACTTTAGCATTTATTAAAGTGAAGACAATGACAGTTTCCTTTCCTTATCTTTAAAAGCCTCTTCACTTAGCTGCTAAACTCGTAGGAGAAATTGCATGGTTCCTATTGCTGGAAACCAATTTTTCCTTTCAATTGCCTTGTGAATTCTGATGTGGTTTTTGGCTATAGCAATGTGAAGTGTTGCAGCTTTTTGGATTTAGAAATCTAGGCAGTATTCACCAGGCTGCATATATATCATAGAAATATGTTCTGATATAACTTTACTATCAAGAGTCTGTAAACCTAAATGGTGAAAAATCCATATAGGGAAGTACAACTTTAGTATTTGGTGAGATGGATCTAAAACGATTAACATGTAACTTCTTAGGGGGGAGGGGAATGATTGAGTTTCCTGATTTGAGGAAGATGTGGTTCATGAGAAATTCATGATTCTTTGAGGCTATCTATCACATTAAATGCCCAAGGGGTGAACTGACTTAAGATGTGATTTAGATTGAAAGAAGAAAAAGTCCTGAAATCTGTCTAATTTTAATATAAGATCACTATAGGATAATGTGCAACTTTTATTTACATAGTTAAAAATTATTTTTTTTTGGTGACAGCGTAATTGTAACCCTTCTGTCAGGCATGGGACAGCAGTAATAATGGTCGAGTTCATTGTAGGCGTTTTACACAAATGTATTATCTTGGCTCAAGGCCCTACCCAGAAACCTGGGAAAATCAATTCTGTTTGGGTGTTCCAGTATGAACTAACTTCCTGCTTGTAAGCAATTATGACACTATAACAGGGTTTATTGAAGGGGAAAGGAAAGTGGGTCGTGAAACAAAGTTGGGAAACCCTTAATAATCAGTAGCCCACTTCAGCCAGCTATTAACATTTTATTACAGTCAGTATGTGTCAGAGTTGTCTCTTCGTCCCAAACAAGATGAACATGGGATCTTGTAGAGCCCGTACAGCTGCTAACCCAAGCTTTCACCTGCCTCACCAGTGCTTGCTGCAGCAGGTCAGGGTGTTGCTCTGCCAAACTGAGTCACTTGCTATGGCAGTCAGAACAAGCACAAAAGAGTGTCCCTTGCTGTCAAGCCTGTATACCAATTGCAGTATGCAGATAAGGGCCATCTTTTCCTGTAATCCAGTAGGGGTATGTAAGTAAGCATCACTGGCAGATTGTCACACAGAACACAAATACATTACCAGGGTTACGTAAGATTATAATCACTTTCAAGTTACAGGTTTCATAACATGCAAGGGGGTTCCAGATATGTGGTGCAAAGCACCATAACATTTAGCATACAATGCTGCACTAGTTTAGGCAAAGTAATCTAGCAATAAGTATGATTCCCAACATTGGGACATACTTTTTTCAAAACCAGATTTCTTTAACTGAATTTTTCTTTTTCTTTTTCTTTTTTTTTTTGTGTGCAAAATTGCCTGCATTTCTTTAAGCTGATAGCACTTCACTCCTTGCTTTTCTGTGACAGAAGTTTAGGTGCCTGCCTTTCTAATGAACAGTTATATGGTCTGAGAACTGTTGACTTTTCAGTTCCTTGACTACATACAGACGTTAACTGGGTATTCCAGGAAGTATCTCTGAGAACCACATTTAGGATCAGGGTTGAATTGTATTCCTTGACTGGCTTATCTTGAACAAAGATAAGCAAGTTTGGGGAAGACGTTTTGCCTTATCGAACATCTTATGGGGATGGCAAGAAAAAAGGTTATAGAAGCCGATGCTTAAATATAGAAAAGTATTTGGGATAATTCTTTTGAATGCCCTATTCTCATTTGAGATTTGCATGTGCAGATGTCATTTAAGAAGATGGCATGTTACAAACATAGGCACAGTTGGTTTTCAGGAATTTCAGTGAAATAAAATGTCACTTAGGTACCCACCTCCACTTAGGAGACCCCAGTAAGTAAAATAGGATCTGATCTTAAGTGTATTGCGGAGTGCTGGATTACAATGTTACAGTCAGATGTGAATAAGGGGTAGTGCATTATTACACCATCCCAGGAGCAGATAACAGAACTAATTTGGTTGTAACAAATAGATATCACCTTTGTGCCACCATAACAATTTTTATGGCAGCACAAAGGGTAAGCAAACAGATGTCTGTCACCACTTGTTGCACCAAAATTTTTTGGCCATCACAAAAGGTAGAAATCGTTTCTACTGCTTTATTATGGCAGATGTCTGTTGGCTTTATGGCGTGAGAGCACGGGCAACTCAGAGCTGCTCATGCTCTCCAGTAACCCTGGAGTAATGAATCACTCCCAGCATTTGAGGGGCTAAATCCCTTGTACCTCTCAATTCCTTCACAAGATTGGACCCCTCAAGCCCTGGAAGCACCTGCCTAGATTTCACTTCTTACAGACTCAGACTCTGGGAATCTCTGAAGCACATCTTTTTAGGTGGGAAAGGGGTTTCCCTGTTTGCAGAGATGCGGTCTAGAGATTCCTGGGGTTAGTCCCTGTTAAGTGGGGATCGATCACATTACTTGTTGTCCTGCAAGATCAATGGGCTGAACAACAGGCGACATGTTTCACCTAATTAAGCCGTACCAGGACACATCTCAGCATAGCTGATCCATTTCATTTGGCAATATCTACATCTAACTTAAAGTCAAATATCCCCTGCTTTGCAATCAAGTGGGACAATGTTACTTCAGCTTCTTTTGCAGACCATTAATTTTCAGAACGGGGGCAGCGATGCGACTCTCCTACTCATCAACATTGACAGCTTCTCGCACCATTTGTATGGAAATGCAGTATTGAGCAAGTAATTCCTGGACTTCCACTTAAAGCTGGACTCCTGTTCTGAGTACTGCCATGCAGAAGACTGAAGAAATCTTACTTCCCATTACTTGCCTGGATGGCTGGATATGGGGTGTGATGACCTTGCTAAAAGGGAGTCTTCCATGTAAATCATGCTATAAAACTGACCTCTGCCAAGGCTAAAACTTTCAGTATTTGCAAGAGTCTCAAAATAAAATCAGTCACTTTGAAAATTAAATAGACTCTGGGGTCAGATCTCCACAGTCTAGTACGGGAATTTGACATGCAGCTTCTATTAGCAGTAACTCAGGTTTCATGTTTAAATCCCCGTTGAAATGACCTCTTACATCTCCAAGTATAAGAGTGAAATTGCCAGCCCAAAATGGAAAGGTCGCCCTGCTTGGAACTCAAGTAAGGTTAATCTTTTTCGTGAGTACTGTTGGAAATTGCTCTTGCTGTTTGGAGCAGATGGTAAATTATGCAAGCCAGATTCAGGACTAGTGTTTCTCCAGGTTTTGAAAAAGGTGCTAGACAAATCAATGCAATAAACACCAGTACCGAGATACAATTATTCCTGCTTTCCTCATAGTAGATGTTCACTCTAAGTCAGCTTTTTAAAAGTTTGCAAGAGTCAAAGACTGCCATCACTTCAGTGTTTAATTAGCTCAGAAGAATTGATGAAAGTAACAAATTGTCACTGTTCACATACTGAAGCATCATGTGTCTTTGGTGTAGTGGCATCACTTGAAATACATCTTGGCAACTACCAATAGAGAGTTCAGCCCCCTCGCACCAAGTATTTACTAGGGATATTGTAGAGTTATGATTGTCAGATGATTTGATTGTTTTGATGAAATAAGTTGTTTTATTCAGAACCAATTTGCTTATGTTCAGGTGAAATTTCCCTTTATTTGTGTGGCAATCTAAGTTTGTCTGTCACTGTTAAAGTGTGTGGTCAAAATCCTGGTCATACTTGGGTACCTATACACATGCTTGGGGGTCATATTGCACTTAGAAACCAAATTTTTAAACCTAGTGCTTTAAGAATTGACCCAACACTCGGTTGATGAATAACAGAAAGGCTTGC